TGTTTAAATCCACGTCAGCATAGCCGTGATTCAATGAGATTGTCTTTGGACACTTAGACGTTAGAACGAGTACATTCAACACAGATATGTACGGGAAGAGGCTGTTGCTTGGCTGTAATCCCGAATTCTTACTGTACCTCAATTCTCGGGAACGTTCGATCGCAGTTCACCAATGATCACGTGTTCGATTTAAAGAATATCAACGTTCTTTTCGACATCCGTCGATAACACAGCTACCTGCAAATCGATCGTCCCTTTGATAAACATCGTACGACATCGCAAGTACATACATACAATTAAATCGACGACGTTACGCCTATACACCTCTACGATTGTTTTGCACACGACCTTTTGGTAAAATTAGAATTACGTATGGAATATCTGCTAGCAGATCTGTAGCATACATAATTGGATTAACGATCTCGATTGTCAATTTCGATACAGCATACGTACGCGTTCTTATAGTATAATATACGATAAAAAAGAAATCTAATTTATATATATATATATATATATATTTATTTATTTATATATGTGTATATACGTATAGTATTTATGTAGACAGTACAACAGTAGTCAGAAAGTTAGGCAGACTTGATTCGTACTCGACAGCGAAAGGCTGGTCTTCTAAGATTAGTATAGAAAAGAAGTAACGACGAGAGAGAACAAAGGCATCTTTCATCTTTAACAGCTCAAACAAACGTCGTGAATTTCTCAATTGAAAATAGATTTGACGTTTCTTCGAAAAAATAAAACGATCTGTATGTTCAATTATTCTCACTAGAGTACTGAAACCTTCTTTCTTTTTTGTTTTTCGACCGTAAGAAAGTACCGTTCCGTTCCAATCGAAATCCAACTAGGGCTTCGTGAAATATCACCGACAACAAGTATACTTACAGTCTCGCTAGCTAAAAAACGTAGCGACAGCGTAGGATAGAAACCGTAGTTGCTAACGATTACAAATATGGCAATAGTAATAGAGGGAAGTTTAGTAGAAAATCATGCCTACGGTGCGCGCTTAGCCACTTACGAAGGAAGAACCTTTCATCTACAAGTTTAGATGATTGCATTCGTTCAAGAGGATTGTCCGTGCGATTTTTTTTATAACATCCGGCGAAGATTGTCTCGAGGAAAGCTCGTTCTTGTTTTTCATTCTTTCTGTCAGAATTCGAGAGCTTTTGTCGAAATTATCCTCGTGCCCGGTGTGTACCCTTAAAGAAAACGTTAGGATATGTTTATAGGCCGATCAGATTTTGTGTACGTCGAACAATCTGCTCGCGCAAACGTTTCTTTCTTTCCCCGGCACATCGATTCGTTTCCCCTTTTTTCTCCACCGTTTCGTATAATTTTTCTCATATTTAATTAGACTATCCCTTAATTATCCTCGGAGGAACGTTTCGCTATTCCGTGAAGAATCGTTGCCTCTTTCCCGCTTTCGAAAGAATGAGATTCGTGTAGCTGAAGACGACAATAAATCGGTGTAGAAATATCTTACATGTGCAGCTCTCGAGATAGACGATGATTATCGGAAATAATCAGATTTTGTGTACAATCTGCTTGCGCGAAACTTTACCGACACATTGTCCGTTTCTTTCGCGTACAATTTTTCGTTATACTTATTCGACTATAACCGGCATCCGATTATCTTGGAGGAATGCTTCGTTATTCCGTGAAGAATCGTTGCCTCTTTCCCGCTTTCGACAGAATGAGATTCGTGTAGCTGAAGACGACAGTAAATCGGTGTAGAAATATCTTACATGTGCAGCTCTCGAGGTAGATGATGATTATCGGAAATAAAGTACGAGATTAATCTGTAAAAGTCAGAGTTCTATGCTAACGCGGTACAAGTTACTTCCCCTATTCTTCCCTCTTTCGAAATGATCCGCTGATTATCGCTGGGAGAAGGTCATCATCCGAGATAATGGTAACTTGTAATATCTGAACAGATTTTAACCTTTATCGTGCGCGAGATTCTTCGAATGGTCCATGAATTTTTTCATCGTTTATTGCTCTGTGAAAGTTCGTTCGACTGAATTGTGAACGTGGAAGGAAAATTACTTTACCTGTATCCTCTACAGCCTCGAAACGAGAAAAAAGATATTTGCACACACGAGAACACCCAAGTGTATAGACTGTTTGAAAGAAAATTCAACCGAGGGTGCAAATAGATTTTAGTGATTTGAAGAAAGCTGCGAAATTGAACGGAACATTCAACCATCAAAATTCGACGCTTTCTTTTTACGAAATATCGTTACGATAAAGGTTACACCTGTGCGTAATTAGGATTTGGTCAGTGAAATCGTCGATTTCTCTATGTACCATTAATACACGCTTAGGTTCGATCACTTGCGTGTGCTAGAATTATCATCGTAAAAGTAATCGCATCGCGCACGCGACTTTATAATGCCTTTGTCACACACGTATTTTTTGATATACATATATCGAATGATTTATAGTTTAACGATATAACGTTACTTCTGCTTCTAACTCGGGCGGGGTAAGCGCAATACTTCTGGACAATCTGTCGTCCGTTATTTTTTTTCACGTTTCGATTCTTTCGCTTTATTCTCGACTCTCGTGTAAACATCGTCGTTTGTTTAAAGATCCGACAGATCTTTCCGGTGAAAAGTGGTATTATCTTCTTTTTTTTTTTTTTACAATATTCTGCTCGATGTTACTGCAACACGACTCTCGAAGCGAAAGAACCGAACGTTCGTTTAAACATGAACATCCCAGGGGCCACTGCAGTGTTCTAATAAATACGCGATCGAATCGAGTGAAATTTTCGTCTAATATGCATATACACACAGGTGTCCAATTAAATTGGAGAAGTGATTCCTGAAGCAGTTCTAAGAATTAGTAAAAAATGACAAAGTTGCATCTGAAGCTTGGTTAATTGATTACCAATTAAAATCCGAAACAGGCAATTTTCGTGTGCTCGCATAAATTGGGCTTCTATGATTCATATTAGACTTTTATTGCGAAATATTCTCAAAATTAAATCAGCTCGTTTGATAGTTTCCACTAGAAGACCTGTTTTTCTTCGTTTGGTGCAGCATTAATTTGCGTCGTACAAGGCCACCTGACTTACATCAGCGCATGGAAGTTGCCTGCTGCAGGGGCAAATTTAACGGTTAATAGCTAACTAACGAAGCCTCAGGCGCAACTTTGTCACTCTTGCTTTTCGTCTTAGAATGCCTTCAAGAATCACCCCTCCAATTTAGTATCCGATATAACTGGACACCCTGTATATACATGCACATTTGGTACGAAAAATTACGTGAAATATTTGTTTCATTATTTAAGACAGAATTACGGAGAAAGTGACGAGGTTGGAATTACTTGAAATACTCCAAGTGGCCCTAGCGATCGTTTCTTGTTCCGGCAACCTTGTATATTAAATTCGCGAGTGTTAAAGGAATCTCTGTTTGTCAGTCTACGAGCTACAAAAATGACGTGACTCCTAAACACCGAGTTGTTTTTGATTTGCCATTCACGTTGCCTGCAAAGTTGTTTTTGGTAACCACTTACCGATTGCTCTTCGTATTCGGCTCGACCAGCGAGCCTTGGAACGATTGTCTACCGTTAAATAATTAACGCGTCGGAGAAGTCGTCTCGAT